TGCTGCATTGTGAAAACATTCACTGCGAGCTGATGGCTTTCATTTGCTTTCAACACTTTTAAAGCAGTCAAGATCAGTCTGCTCTGGTTGGATGAGGTCTCCTACCGCCCATTCAGAGCTCTAGAAACAACTTCTTCAGAAATCTATTACTGAAAAACGGAAACGTGTTTCTGATCATAGCCATGACCCAAACTTCTGTGAAAAGGAATACAAGAAGTTGAAGGGGGAACTAAGAGAGTTTTTTTCTGTCATAGTCCACACGGAACCAACCAATCCAGGGTGCTCTGCACCCATTATCTCATTCAGTCCTCCTAGCAGCCCTGTAGGACACAGGAGGGCAGTGGAGATAAGTGGCTGAAAGTCATAGAAATGATGGAGGCTAGTCCCTGCACTCAAATCATCAGTAGATTGACTGTCAAATGTGTTCCAACTATGAGCAGTGGAAGGCAGAAAGATGGATAAATGGGCCTCAAGAAGTTTATAACCTAGTTAAGGGAAAATAAGAGACATATAATAATTATATAACTGTACATACATATACACATATATGTACAAGTATATGTGTATATTTTATACATGTACACACTAATATATGCACATACACAGTAACATAATAACTAACATTTGTTTGGTATATTAGAGCTTAGCAAGTACTTTTCCTCATCTGAAGACCCAGCAAATCACCGTGTTGAATGTGAAATGAATGGAATGTTGAGACAGAAAGCGAGCATTTTAGGAATTCAGAGCAGGGTGAGATCACTGCAGGAAGGGGTGATGGGAAAAATTTTAGCTGAGGCATAGAACTAGTAGAAATGCTGGGCAGTCACACAAACCCGAATACAACTCCTGGCTTCCCTACTAGAAACCTGCCAGGATCTCTACTGCTAATAGTTTTAAAGGAGATAATTGTAAATTCATCTTACTTTCTAGAAGATAAAATGCTAACTAAGAGTGCTTAGTGGCCTGTGTTTTCTCTCTGGTCCTCCACCCAAATGATCAAAATATTAAAAAAAAAAATACTCCCATCTGTTTCATAGTGATTCTAAAAACACAGGGTAACCTGGATACTTTAGATGTGAAATGGTTTGAGTTGCCTTTACTTAAAAACCCTGTGATTATTAACCCAGGGCACTTCCCTGGTGGTCCAGTGGTTAAGACTCTGCACTCCCAGTGCAGGGGGCCCGGGTTCAATCCCTGGTTGGGGAACTAAGCCCTCATGCTGCAACTACTGAGCCCATGAGCTGCAGCTAGAGAAGCCCGCGCGTCAGAACAAAGAGCCCGCGCACAGGAACGAAGACCCAGTGCAGTCTAAATAAATAAATAAATAAATAAATAAATTTACAAAAAAAAAAAAAGCTTAAGGGCTTCCCTGGTGGCGCAGTGGTTGAGAGTCCGCCTGCCAATGCAGGGGACACGGGTTCGTGCCCTGGTCCGGGAAGATCCCACATGCCGCGGAGCGTCTGGGCCCGTGAGCCGTGGCCGCCGAGCCTGAGCGTCCCGAGCCTGTGCTCCGCAACGGGAGAGGCCACAACAGTGAGAGGCCTGCGAACCGCAAAAAAAAAAAAAAAAAAAAACCCCTGTGATGAGCATCTGGATGGTACAGCTCAAACACCTTATTAACACCTGGAGTTATATAAGGTCAGCTCTGCCCATAATTTCTGCAGTGAAATGCATGAAAATCCAGCCCTGCATTTTTTTTTTTTTTTTTTTTTTTTCGGTTGCCGGGCCCCCCCCTTTTGTGGCCTCTCCCGTTGCGGAGCACAGGCTCTAGACGCGCAGGCTCAGCGGCCATGGCTCACGGGCCTAGCCGCTCCGCGGCATGTGAGATCTTCGCGGACCGGGGCACGAACCCGTGTCCCCTGCACCGGCAGGCGGACTCTCAACCACTGCGCCAGCAGGGAAGCCCTAGCCCTGCATTTTGACTGGGCTTTCCTAGGTTCTCCTTACATAATTGTAGCCATTTCTCTGCCAGTAGTGATTTAGAAATGCCTTTCTAAAGCCCTCTGCATTTGCCTCAGCTTCCTTTAATTTTTCTAAAACTTTTACCTTCCTTTCTTAGCATTTGGATTTCTTTGGTTTCAAGCCACAGAAACTCATTATGGCTAACTTAGAAAAGCTGAGCATTGGGAGGATATTGAAGAGCTCACAGCCTGAAAGGAAGGCTAGAGAGCTAGGCTCAGGGAACATAGGAACTAGGGCAGCTCTGGGGACTCCATAGCAGGAATCAAGTCTTGCCCTCACTACCTGCTGAAATGAATGAATGACAGCTAGTTTTTTTCCATCCCTTACATTCATGTTCATCATTCAAAGCTCCAGCAGAGAGAGTCTGATTAGTCTGGTTTAGGTAGGGGCCTGGGGAAGAACGGACATCTTAACTGAAAGCTCAGTAGGACTGTGCACAGGTAATTCCCCAAAGAATCCAATGACTATTGTCAGAGGAGGAGGAGAGAGTCATTGCTGCATTGTCAAAACCCAAATAATATCCACTACACCCTAGCTTTCCTTCCTAACCTCCATTTCCTACTTTTTCTAATTATCCATAATAGGAATGACCAATGCATCTTCCAGGGTTGTGGAGAAGATATATAAATATAAATCCACATGTATTGGAACTTTCCCCCAAAGGATTAATGGTTGGGGACGTTTGGCCTTACCCCTCAGTGTTGCGTGGAAGGATTAAGGAAGATAATATATGCAAAATGGCTCCCACAGTGCCTGGCGCCTAGTGAGGCTCATTACATGCATTGCCACTTCAGCGCCCCTCACCGCCCCCTTCTGTGCTGGAGCAGCTCATGAGAGCAGATTGTGATATTTTCAGGAATTTTGTGAGCCAACTGACATAACGTCGGTAGCTTGAAGTTGACCTTGTTGGGAATATTTACACCACGGAAACTGGAAATGCAGCTAATTAAACTCCCCCCAACCTCCAGGCAGTTGTTAAATATTTCTCAGCTCAGCCTTGCATCCACTTCTTTCCTCCCTTCACAAGATGTGAGCAGAACCAAAGTACAGCTCAACCACCTTATTAACGCTCAGAGTTATATTAGATCTGCTCTGCCCATAATTTCTGCAGTGTACAATGCATGAAAATCCAGCCCTGCATTTTGCCTGGGCTTGCCTAGTTTCTCCTTACATAATCGTAGTCACTTCCCTGCCAGTAATAATTTAGAAATGTCTTTCTAAAGTCCTGTGCACTTTGCCTCAGCTTCCTTTAATTTTTCTAAAGCTTTTACCTTCCTTCCTTAGCATTTGGTTTCCTTTGGTTGTGAGCCACAGAAGCTCATTATGGCTAACAAACAGAAAAGTTGAGTATGTGTGTCAGGTAGGATTAGATTCAGCTGTGAGAGACAAAAAATTAGAATAGTGGTTTACTAGATATAAATTCATTCTCTCTGATAGAAAGTCTAGATCAAGGCTGGCAGTTCAGGCTTGGCTAGAAGCTCACTTTGTTGCCTCACGGCCTCAGTACATGGTTTTTCCTTCATGATCTAAGATGGCTGTCCAAGCTGCACCTTCCAGCCAGTAGGACAGAGAAGGGCAAAGAAACACATCCTTTCCTCTTAATCCATTGACAGAAGTAACGCAGAGCATTTCTGCTTATATGAAATAGGCTGAAGTGAAGTCATTTAACCATATCCAGCTGCAAGGGAGGCTGGGATATGTGTTATTTACTCCAGGCACCCCTGTGCCCAGCTGGAAACTGAGAAGAAGGGAAGGGTGGATACTGGGAGACAGCTGGGTGGCCCTCCCACTGATGGGCAGGGTTTAGGAAAGTGTAGGAGGGGAAAGTGGGGCTGGTGTGATGGGAATAAGTGTGCTCTGTGGAATTTTGAAGGAGCTGGCTGGAATAGAAAATTAGAAATACTGGAAAATGAGGTTAAGTAAACAAGGGGAAAGCCAGATCTCAGTGAGGGTCCAGGAAAGCAGACAAAAGAATCTTTATCTAGTGCCATTAGAAACAGGAGGCATTCAACTTTTGGGTAGGGGAGCTGTATGATCAAAGGCATTAAAGAGATTTTAATCTGGCGTTTACGTGCGAGTCATGTTGGGTGGGGGGAAGGAAAAACAGGAAAGGGCAGGGAGGTTGGAGAGGAGACCAATTTCACAATCCAGGTGTGAGGTGATTATGTGGGGGCAATGGGAACAAGGAGGAAGAAATAAATCTGAGAGGCATTTGCTAGAAAATATGTTAGGATTGATGGCTGGCCTGATAGGGAGTTTCAGGTTGGGGAGGCCAAGAAACGAGTAAACAAGTGAACCTGCCTTGATAGGTGTTTTAGGTTGGGCGGCACAGAACTTTTGTCCAAGGGATTGATGCGGGGAGGAGAAGAGCGAGGGGAACAAGATGGCAAAGCCAAGAAGCTAAGCAAGGATGTGGGCTAAGCTGTAATCCGAGTCCACAGTGAGACTCTCAGCGCAAATCACACCAGAGTCGGCTCCACCTTGAGAGAAGGCGGCTGCTGCCGCCTTTAATGTCACTTACAGCTGCGCACCAGGCAGTCAGTGGCTGAGATCTGTCCAAAGTGTGTGTTGTGGGGATGGCTTGTCTCCCATTCGGTCCAGGCCAATTCTCCAGAAAAGGGGACAGCTGTGTGTGGTTATCAGACAACATGCCTGGTACCTGGGGGATGAGTAGACCAGCTGGTCAAGATGATCTGGGTGAGGCCCAGATAGCATCCATTACAGTGGGTCCATTTTGGATGTGTTGGACTTGAGGTGGCAAAGAAATAAGGTATTGGCACATGACTAGAGGGAAATTGGCAGTACAAGATAGGAGTTCATGTCGATGAACAGGACTGGTTATGGAGGTATTGGAGTGGGAGACTCTGCACACAGGTGATAGTTTCGTCAAGAAGGAGTGAGCCCGGGACTTCCCTGGTGGTCCAGTGGTTAAGACTCCGTGCTCCCAATGCAGGGGCCCTGGGTTCAATCCCTGGTCAGGGAGCTAGAGCCCGCATGCCGCAACTAAAGAGCCTGCATGCCACAAGGAAGATCCCACACGGCAGCAACGAAGATCCTGTGTGCTGCAAGTAGGACCAGGCGCAGCCAAATAAATAAATATTTAAAAAAAGAAGAAGAAGAAGAAGTGAGCTCTTTGAGGGCCATGGATAGAGAGAGGGGAGCAAGCCTTTGGAAAGTAAGTTGGTTACAGCCTAGTGGGAAGGTGGGAGGGAGAAGAGGAACCAATGAGTAAAGCAAAGCAGAGACCGGTAGAGAAGCATGTCCGTGTGGTAGTTGACCTTATATTAAGACTGGAAGTCAAGGAAAGAAGTTGAAGGAGAATGAGTATGGAGAAGAAGGTGAGGTGTTTTTGACTTTAGTCAGTTGGGAGGTTGTTGGTGGTCTTTGAGGGAACAATTTCACAGCAGGACGAGGTTAGAAACCATGTGGTCGAGGCTAGTAACGCTTTCCACATTTAATGTCATTCCATCTGACTAACTCAACTCGTCTAGGGTACTTTCTCCTTCAGTTTCTATGCTGCTCATTCTTGCTCCTCCTAAGGTCACTCTATGTTCTGGTTATCTAATGTTGCCTAAAAGATTACCCCAAGACTTAGCGGGCATGACACTCTTTGTTACCTTTATGGGCTCTGTGGATCAGGAGTTTGGATGGAGTGCAGTGGGGGTGGAGATGGCTTGCCTCTGCTCCATGATGTCTGGGGTCGAAGCTGGAAGACTCGAAAGCTGGAGACTGGAACCATCCGTCTGCAGGATCCTTCATTCACACGTCTGGCAGTGGATGCTGGCTATTGGCTGGGGGCCTCGGTTCCTCTCCCTTGGTCTAGATTGGGCCTCTCTTGCATGGTGTCTGGGTTACTGAGAAAGAGAACCAGGCATGAACTATATACTTTTTATGACTTCACTTTTTTATGATCTACATTGCTTTCCCCCTACTCCATTGGTCACAGCAGTCACAGCCCCAGCCAGATTCAAGGGGAAGGAACATGATCCCACCCTGGCGTGTCAGTCATGGGATAAGAAGAGTATCGGAGGAGGATACCCATCTTTGGAAAATATAGCCTTTCATCCTCTGTCAGAACTCTCCATTTGCTTCTTATGAGTGGCCCCATTTATTCAACAGTCATCAGTAATAACAGCAACTGGAGGAACTTCCTGAGGGCAGGGGACTGGCCTGTTACGATTGTCTTCTTTATCTTTATATCCTGAACATTCTGAGCAGTGATAGCCTCACAATAGATTCCTGTGGAAGGAAGAACTCCTTTTAAGTCTATTTTTCTCAGACGCTGCATCATTTGATCCTAAACTAGCTATCACGACCATTTCACAGTTGAAGAAACTACGGGGCTTAGAGGGGTAAGTGGGCTACCCTTCAGATGACTAGGCTAGCAAGAGCTCAGCTGTGACATGAACCCAGGTCTTCTGGGTTGAAGTTACTTTTATTAAGAACTTGATGCCTCCAAACAGCGGGACTGCTCCTTCAGTGCCCCTGTCTCCTCCATCCTCACAGTAGCCCAGGGCCAACTACGGGGCAACGGATAGTGATCCCTCAGCTGCTGACTGACCAGTCCTGCACTTGATACACTGATCTAACATGGTGATTTAATATCATTATATAATATGATTTTGCATCTCTTTTCTCAAGAGAGCAGGAGAGGTCTAGGGCACAGACCCTGGTGCTGCACTCAGCTTCCGGGCTGGGTAGAAGGCCAGGACGAAGTTGGTCCTCATCTCTCTGAGTGGGCAGCACCCATGTCAGGAGTGTGGGGTGAGAGGAGATGCCAAGAAGAGTTCTGTTGGGGCAATCAGATGGTGATCTGAGGGAACCACATGGGAAGAGGGGGGAAAAGCCTAGAAGGGAAGTGGTTGAGGTAGTTCCTGTAGGTTCAGCTCAGAGGGGAGTGGGGAGCCAATTTCCGCCCCCTCCCCAACTCACATCCCAGCCCTAAAAATGCTTCACAGCTTCAGGAGGAAATCCTGGCCAAGTATCCAGTGTGGGTGGCAGGGGTGCTTATCTAGATCAGGAGTGGGTGGGAGGACATCTTAGAACTTATATCAGGCCCCAATTTTCCAAATCCTGCCTGTGCCCTGCCACCTCTGCCCCCGAAAACCAATTTTTGACTTTATCTCTTTAGAAATGTCCCCAGGCTAGCAGTTTATTTCTCAGAGGTTGCAGATCAGGAAGGACCTTCAGAAAACACAATTTCCACTTCCACTGTGGGGCAGAAAGCATAGGGCAGCCCAACCCCTCGATGCCCGTGAAGTAACAAAGGACCAACTACGCTGTGTTGTAGGACTACTGGCCTTACCAGGTCCCCGCTCTCCCCCACCAGCCCCGAAGGGACCTCTTAGACTCCTTCTCTCTCTGGTTTCTCCCCATCCTGCTCCCCTTTGCTAAAATGCTTACCTCCCCTGCTCAGGCCCTTTGAAAGTAGCTCACTATGACTTTTCATATCACCCCCAACTCTTCAACCTCACCTTCATGGACCTTGGCGGCCCAGCTTCAACTGTATCATTCGTGAGTCACCCCTGCTCTTTTGTTCTAGCCCCATCAACATGCCTGTGCTCTCCCCCACGTAGGGATTACTCACCGCTTAAGTCACCAGTCCCTCTGGAATGTGCCCCCTCCTCCATGACACCCATTCTCCCCACATCCTTTATTATTTTGTTTAAACTAACAATGTTTTTTTTCCCCTCCAATGATTAAAATAACGTGTGTTTGTTGTGGAAAATCTGTGAAATGCAAAATGTATACAAACAAAAGCAAATAAAAAGTACCCAAAATTCCACAATCCCAGTGTAGCTAACGTTACCATCCCAGCGGATTTCCTTCCCGTATTCTCATCAGAACTCCTTCCTGCTTCAGGCCTCCATGCATGCTTATTATTCCTTTTTATTATTCCTTATTATTCCTAAAAGTCTCTCCCTCTGTCCCCCTCTCTTTCTCTCTTCCCTTCCTAGTTCTGTGAGTCAATCAACTCACCCTCATTATCATAAAGGCCACTCTCTCAGTTAGGTCTCCCTATTACACATTCACAATACCCCGTACTTTTCCTTGTGGCACTTGCCACAACTAGAAATAAACCATAATTTTTGTCCTCGTGTGTTTAACGTCTGTCTTGGCCACTTGACTTGACGTAAGGTCCATGACTGGTTTTCTTGTTTATTCAGATGACCCTAGCATCCACCACAGTGCTCTGGATACAGAAAAAACACAATACATGGCACAAAGATGCCTTCTTGAATAACTGTGTGTCTGTTCTCTCTGCACTTCAAAATAGTCAATTTCACAGATACAGTGAATCAATTACCATATGCCTGACCTGGTTCCAGGTACAGGATACCCAGTTCTTGCCCTCAAGGAGCACTTAGCCTTCTGAAGGAGACAGACCAGTAAATGCAACATTTGAGTACATCTTTAAGTATATGATGATCAATGGTATTGAGTAACACATAGAGGAAGGGTCCTTAAAGCTTGGGGGGAGGTGACACCATGGTTTTATTTTGTCCTTAGTAATGCATTTACTTTGTAGAATCAGAGGATAGTAGAATTGAGTGGTATCATAAGATCAACAGGCCTTATCTCGTCCTACAAGATGAGGAAACGAAAGCAGTGAAGGGCAGTAAAGTGACTTGGCCAAAGCCACCGGGTAGTTGACTGGTGGTTGATTGGGAGTTAGACCTCGATCTTGAGATTCCCAGCCCAGTGCTCTTTTCCACTGTGCCTTGGGGGCCTCTGGAGCACCCCCTTCCTTCATCAGCCCCCAAGTCCCATTGATTTTCCCTTGTAAAGATCTCTCCAGTCTTTCCACTTTCCCTCACCTCCCTGTCACCACGCTCCAAGTCTCCATCACCTCCAGCCTGCGTGCCTACCCCACCTCTTACCTTATCTCACTGCCTCCAGTCTTGCCCTGCTCAGATCCCTTCTCCGAGTTTCAGCCAGAGTGAGCCTTCCCAGATCTGAGTGTGAGCATGTCTATCCCTTGCTTAAAGCCCCAGAGGCTTGCCACCAAGCTTTTAGGAATATGTTCAAAAGTCTTCTGTTTTTCTCTTCCATTTTACTGAAATATAATTGACATACAGCACTGTATAAGTTTAAGGTGTACAACATAATGATTTGACATATGTACGACATGAAATGATTACAATAGGTTTAGTGAATATCCATCATCTCATATAGATACATTAAAGAAATGGAGAAAAATATTTTTCCTTGTGATGAGAACTCTTAGGACTTACTCTCTAACAACTTTCATATATAATGTACCATAGTGTTAACTGTATTTATCATGCTGTACATTGCATCCCTAGAACTTATAACTGGAAGTTTATACCTTTTGACTGCCTTCATCTGATTCCCCCTCCCTCCCACTCCCTGCCTCTTGTAACTGCAAATCCGATCTTTTTTTTCTATGAGTTTGTTTGTTTGTTTTTGACCTATAACTGACCTATAACACTATGTTAATTCCTGATGCGAAGCATGGTGATTTGATATTTCTATACATTTCAAAATGATCACCATGGTAAGTCTAGTTGTCATCTGTCACCATACAAAGATATTACATAATTATTAACTATAATCCTCACGCTGCACATTTATACCTGTGACTCATTTATTTTATAACTGAAAGTTTGTACTTTTCGTACCTCTTAGTCTCTGTCACCTATTCCTCTTATTCCCCCACCCACCTCCCCTCTGGCACCTGCTTGTTCTCTGCGTCTATGACTCTGTTTCTGTTCAGTTCTGTTTGTTCATTTGTTTTGTTTTTTAGATTCCACATATAAGTAAAATCATACAGTATTTGTTTTTCTCTGACTTATTTCACTTAGCATAACATACTCGAGGTCCATCCATGTTGTTGCAAATGGCAAGATTTCATTCTTTTTTATGGCTGAGTAATATTCCATTGTGTGTGTGTGTGTGTGTGTGTGTGAGACACATCTTCTTTATCCATTCATCTATTGATGGGCACTTAGGTTACTTCCATATCTTGGCTATTGTCAATAATTTCTGCAATGAACATATGAGTGCATATATCTTTTCAAATTAATGTTTTTGTTTTCTTTGGATAAATTCCCAGAAGTAGGATTGCTGGATCATATAATGGTTCTACTTTTAACTTTCTGAGGAATCCACACTGTTCTCCATAGTGGCTGCACCAATTTATATTCCCATCAACAGAGCACTAGGTTCCCGTTTCTTTACATCTTGGCTAACACTTGCTATTTGTGGTCTTTTTGATAATCGTTATTCTGACAGGTATGTGGTGATTGTGGTTTTGATATGCATTTCCCTGATCAGCAATGTTGAACGTCCTTTCACGTGCCTCTTGGCCATCTGTATATCTTCTTTGGAAAAATGTCTATTGGATTCTCTGCCCATTAAAAAAAATTTTTTTTTGATGTTGAGTTCAGAATTCTTAATATGGTATATTAATCTGCTCAGGCAACATAACAACATACCACAGACTAAGTGGCTTAAACAACAAAAATTTATTTCTCATAGTCCTAGAGGCTGGAAGCCCAAGATCAAGGTGCCAGCAAGGTAGATCTAATTCTGAGGCATATTCTCCTGACTTGTAGGTGGCCACCATCTCCCTGTGTGCTCATATGGCCTCTTTCTTCTCTGTGCACACATGGGCAGAGACAGCTCTCTTGTTATCTTTTTTTTTTTTTTCGGTACGCGGGCCTCTCACTGCTGTGGCCTCTCCCGTTGCGGAGCACAGGCTCCGGACGCGCAGGCTCAGCGGCCATGGCGCACGGGTCCAGCCGCTCCGCGGCATGTGGGATCTTCCCAGACCAGGGCACGAACCCATGTCCCCTGGATCGGCAGGCGGACTCTCAACCACTGCGCCACCAGGGAAGCCCCTCTTGTATCTTTTATAAGGACACCCATCCCATCAGATTAGGGCCCCACCCTTAGGACCTCATTTAACCTTAATTACCTCCTAGAGACCCTATCTTCAAATATAGTCACATTGGGGTTTAGGGCTTCAACATATGAGTTTTGAGGAGCACAATTCAGTCCATAGCATATGGCCTACCAGGTCTTTCTTGATTAGCCCATCTCACCAGCATCCTCTAAGCACCACTCTTCTCTCTGCCCCCATGCTTCTGTAACTTGAATTTCTCTTGGTTCCTCAAACTTGTCCAGATCTCTTGCAAAGCTAACCCCTCCATCACCTTCCTTTCGTCCTCTGCCTGCCCCACTGCTATTGGGTCTTTATAAGAAGAAATCTATCTAGCTTTAGAATAAGCAGATATGGTTTTGCCCCCTTTTGACCCGAGTCCATCGAGGCATCACAGGACCTGTCTTGGACCTCTTTGAGAATCACCTACTCTTCTGAGAACTGAGAACTGAAGATGGTAGAGTGTACAACCCCCTTTGTAAGACAGAAACCAGAATTCAATTCCTGCCTTATTGGTGAGCTTCCTCCTTTTGGATCTATATTTTGGCCTTTCAGTTTCTTCTTAGGGAGACCCACTGGACTCATTTCTTGAGGGACATGGCTCTCCCTTGCCTGTTAAGCAATAAACTCAGCTTCCCCTCCCCCAGCCCTGATGTCTTTCTATTTTGGTTTGTCACTTGCAAGTCTCGGTTTAAAGGTCTGTCTCTAAGGGAGGTCTTCCCTGACACCCCATCCTGTGTTTAGTTCTCTGGCTCTGCATTCCTATGGCAGCCTGTACTCTCCCTTTTTTAAGAGTTACCACCTCATTTCTATATGTTTCATGTCTGTCCTTCTGAGCTCTGTAGGGCAGGAGGCATCTCCATCTGGTTGGTTGTGGTATCCCGAAGGCTAGTACGGTGCCTGACACCTAGTAGGATATCAGCAAATATTAGCTTTTATTAGTATATGCTCCATAAGTATCCACTGGCCTGCATTGTCCTCAAAGAGTTTCTCAGATAGTGTATGCATTTTGTTTTCTAAAGTGGACTAAAATTTCTCAGAAGAATCCTCTTTTCCTTTCTTTAAATCTCCCACACTATGACCATTATGGGTTTCTTCATCCAAGAAACATTTCATCAATGATTATTAATTGATCTCCCTACAATAACTTTCCCAACAGGCATATTTGAAGAAATAAGAAAATTTAAACAATATGTTATATAGCAGAACCATCTATTATGAATTTATTGTAACAATAATCTATTGAGAATTAACAAGGAATAGAGGAATTCTTCTCTTCCTCTTCTGCGTAGTCAGGACTTTGCGTCCTTGAAGTTGTGGGTTTCCTGACCGTTGAGCGGTTTGGCTTTTTTGTGTGTTTTAGAAAGAAAAGTAAGAATCAGACTGGGTGGGGGTCTATAGGAAGCCCACACCAACGCAGGCCTTGGTTTTGGAAGGTGCTGGATGTCTGGTCTGAAAGGGAAGGATGAAGAGGCAGGCAGTAACCTACCTCTTGGATGGCGCTTGGACCTCTGGGGACTCAGAGAAAAAAGAGGGGATCCAGTTTCTCCAGGACATGTGGAGAGCTGGGCCTTTTCAAGAGCAGTCTCTCGGACGGTATTGGCTGCCGGCATCCGTGAGAACTGCGCCCAGGTGCTCTGTACTGGGTATTTTCAGAACTTCAACAACTGCCCCCAGGTAAGGCCAGATCAAGACTATAGAGAAAAACAGAAAATGTTATGTTGCCCCCCCAGCGTAATTAAAAATAAAAGAACTACATGAAACCAAAAACAGCTTTAAGGATGTACTATAGATTTGTGATTTTTCCTAGATGCCTGATTACTTTGACTCCCTCCTGCTCTCTCCATCTCCTCCTCCTCTTTCTTCTTCTTCTTAAACATCAAATTTCCAAAGTTGATGCTTTTTTCCCTTTCTCCTAGCTTTGCTGATGCTATGCTTGGGCGATTAGGAATTGCTCAGGCCAGCCTAGTGGTCTGTTTCTGTTGGACCCCCGAGGCCTGGATGAGGAGCAAGGCAATGCTGACCAGGTGGCCAGAGGAGCAGACGCTCATCTGTTTCCTCAGGATTGCAGAAGCCTCGACTTCCTTGTTTGATCCAAGGGAGGGAGTCTGAAAACTGTCAGACACTAGAATACCATCAGTGATGGGCAGGGTGGAAGCCAGATTTGATACGAGGGAGTCCGTACAGAAACGGGACATTACATGTGCCCCAAGAGCTGTGGATCAATTCATTCATATCTATTACATATATAGAGATATACATGCTTATTTACACATAAATGTTTCTAGATAGACGGAGAAGGAACTAGTAACAATTATGGCTTCTGGGAAATAGGGTGGGGTCTACTTTTTTTTTTTTGAGACAGTTTTTTTTTAAACATTGAACAAATGTTACTTTTACAATAAAAATGTACTTCAAAAATTAAAATGACTCATCAGATTGCTAATATCTACAAATTTCAAACTACAGGACAGCTGGAGACTCTGCTTTCCAGGAGGGAGATCTTGTGACCCAGGCCTGGGTTGTGAAGGGGGATTAGTGATGCCTTCCAGCTGTGGCGTGTCCATTAGGCAGCTGGAGAGGTAGCTAAATATAGACTAGCCTGCGAAGTGTGCCAAGATGAATCAGGGCTGGAGCTAGAACACTCCTTCACTGCGTCCATGAGCACGCGCATCGTACCTAAGTCCCAGGCACTGAGAGTGTAGGAGTGAACAAAGCAGATGGGGCTCCTTGGCCCCCGGATTTGGAGTCTAATCACAACCACAATCAAGATATGGAACAGGTCTACTGCCCCCAAGACTCCCTGTGCTATTCCTCTGTAGTCACATCTTCCCGCCCGCCCCACCCCCACCAAACCTCTTGCTATTTTGATCTATTCTCTGTCACTTTAGCCTTGTCTTTTTAAAATGTCACATAAATGGAATCATATAGCATGTAACCTTTTTGAGACCGGAGTTTTTCACTCAGCATAATGCCTTTGAGATTCACCTCAGCTGTTGCATGAATAATTTCTTTCTTTTTGTTTTTGGATTGTGTGCCATGGCACGGATAAGCCAAGTAATGCATTTACCCATTTTAACTAGTTTTTGGTAATTACAAATGTAGGCTGCTAATGAGCATACAGTGTATAGGTTTTTGTGTGAACATGTTTTTATTTCTCTCAGGTAAATACCTAGGGGATTATTGACTTGTGCAGTAAGTGTATTAACTTTATAAGAAATTGCCAGACTATGTTCCAGAGGATGATTTTGAATTCCACCAGTAATGAACGAGAGCTCCTGTTGCTGCCTTTTTGCCAACGCTTGGTAGCACTGTCAATATTTAAAAAATTTTTTTGCTACTCTAACAGATTTGTAGTGGTAATTCGTCCTTTTTTTTTTTTAAATTACATTTGCTTAAAAAAAAAAAAAATTTTTTTATTTACTTATGTCTACGTTGGGTCTTCGTTGCTGCTCGCCGGGCTTTCTCTAGTTGCGGCAAGCGGGGGCTACTCTTTGTTGCGGTGCGCAGGCTTCTCATTGCGGTGGCTTCTCTTTGCTACGGAGCACGGTCTCTAGGCACTCGGGCTTCAGTAGTTGCGCACGCGGGCTCAGTAGTTGTGACTCGCGGGCTCTAGAGCGCAGTCTCAGTAGTTGCGGTGCATTGGCTTAGTTGCTCCGCAGCATGTGTGATTTTCCTGGACCAGGGCTCGAACCCATGTGCCCTGCGTTGGCAGGCAGATTCTTAACCACTGCGCCACCAAGGAAGTCCCTTATCCTGGTTTTAATTTGCATTTCCTTAATGGCCAATAACGTTGAACAACTTTTTATATGCTTATTTGCTTTCCTTTTATCCTCTTTGGTGAAGTGTCCCTTCAAGTCTTTTGCCTACTTTTTAAATTGGGTTGTCTGTTTACTTGCTGTTGAGTTTTGAGAGTTCTTTATATATTCTGGATACATATCCATTGTTGAATACATAACTTGCAAATATTTTCTCCCACTCGGTACCTTGTCTTTTCATTCTCTTAATAGGATCTTTGGCACAGTAAATATTTTTATTTTGATGAAGAATATTTCTTTTTATTACTCATTTTTATTAGATATAAATGACATATAGCAAAGTGTACAAATCTTAAGTGTACAGCTTGATAAATTTTTGCATTTGTATTCACCCATTTAACCACCATCCAGATCGAGATAGTATCACCCCAGAAGGTTCCTTTAAACATCTGTCTAGTCAATATGCAAAACCCCTTTCTTGCCCGCCTCTGAAATAACCGCTATTCTGACTTCTATCACCACAGATAATTTTGTCTAGAAGGTTTCTAATGACTGTGCTCCAAGTTTTGTGACCTACCTGGTTTTGTCTTGGAAATTAGAAGCCTCCCAAACCCCACCTTGGGGAGAGACTCCAACGCCCCTCACCAGATGTGATGCAGAAGTTGGTGAGCAAAGCTGGGCTTCTCAGCATCTTGCCTCTGGCATACCAGCAAACCAGTCTTCACAGCAGAGTCCAAAAACCTGGTAGAAAAGGATAGACAAGGCTTAGGCATCCTAAAACTCCAGTGAAGTGGCAAGGGTACTGTCCCAGGAATCAAAAGGCATGGGTTCAGCTCCCCCTACCCCTGACATTTACTGCATGTCCTTGAACAAACTACATAAGCTTCCTGTGCCTCAGCCACCTCATCTGTAAAATGGGAGCAGTAATACCTACCATGGTTATCAGGCCTGTTCACCAGTATGTGAGTCTCTCTTTCCTTCCAGATACCTAGGAAGATTGTACTTCGCCACGTCGTTTAACTCCTACCAATTAACCCAGGAACGGCTATGTGACTTATTTTGACCAATTAAAACGTGTCTCTTCTACATGGAAGTGTTAAAAGCCAGTGTGTGCTGTGCTTTTTCACATTCTCTCTTTCTTCTACTATGGCAAATGGCGACGTTCTAGGTAGTGACTGCTCTGTCAACCTAGGTCCTGAGGTTGGGACAATGATGGCTCAGAGCAGAGCCTCAGTCAACCCACCATTGATAAGTGGCAGGAGTAATAAATCAGTCTTTGCTGCATAAAGCCCCTGAGCTTTCGAGGCTGTTTGTTACAGAAGCATAACCCAGCTTGCTTGGATGATATCGTACTATAAGTTTGTTACTAAGATTATATGAAATAAAATGTATGGAACTTCTGGACACACAATAAGGATTGATTTCCTGCCTTTCAAAATCTCCTTCTTTTTCTTCTGAACCCAGGGGTACTCTAACCACCTAAAACCCTTGATAAGAGGCAAGAGAACAGACCACCACCACTCAAGCACAAAAGAAGGATGAGAGGAAAAGGATACAAAGCAACAAAGGGTATAGAAATATGACACAGAGCAAGGAAGAGAAACAAAGTGTTAAGGAAGGAGAGAAAAAAGCGTAAGAGCCGGGAAAAGAGAGAGGTACAGAGGATGCCTGAGACACAGACAGAGGTGATTCTGAGGAAAACAATGGCTGAGGCAAATGGAAGCTGTATCTGTTTTGAGATGCTCATCCCAATCCCAGGCAAACAACATCATCTGTTAAAGTAGCTGAACAGGGCTTCCCTGGTGGCACAGTGGTTGAGAGTCTGCCTGCAGATGCAGGGGATGCGGGTTCGTGCCCCGGTCCGGGAGGATCCCACATGCCGCGGAGCGGCTGGGCCCGTGAGCCATGGCTGCTGAGCCTGTGC